CATGAAAAGTTTTTAAATGATCTTAATGGGGAGTTAAAAAAAGATAATATTGTTGAGACCAATATAAATAATGATGATGAAGAGCATGACCTCGCTCAAGAAGGTGGAAAATATCCAATGCATGATCCAAAAACACATTGGAAGATCATGAAACCTATAATAGGTGAGAGATATGAAAGCCCAACACAACTCAAAGAATGCATAACAAATTATGCATTAGCCAATGGTTACCAAATATGGTTCGAAATGAATGACCACACTAAGCTATTAGCAAGATGTGGAAGGGAAGTTAGTGATGATCAACCGAAATGTCCTTGGAGATTATGGGCAACTTGGATGGAAAATGAGAAATCATTCCAAGTGAAATATGTGTGCAAGAAACTTTAAATTTGGTTCATTGCTGAACTATAAGTTTATTGCTAAGAAGTTTGCCAGTCGATTGAGGGAAAATCCTGATATGAAGTTAGTGGACTTGCAATCTGTTGTGATGAAGAAATACAAGTGTCTAGTGAGCATCAACCAATGTGCTAAGGCTAGGACACATGCGATTAGTAAATTTGAGCAAGGTATGAAAAAACATTATGATAAACTTTAGGAGTACGGTGAAGAAATTAGAAGAACCAATCATGGATCTACAGTAAAAATGAGTGTTGAAGTCAATCCCGATGGGAAGACTTACTTTCAAGGCTGCTATATATGTTTGCAAGGATTGAAAGAAGGTTGGATTAGTGGTTGTAGAAGAGTAATTGGGCTTAATGGGTGCTTTTTAAAGACAATATGCAAAAGAGAGTTGCTTTCAGCCGTTGGTCGAGAGGCCAATAATCAGATATTCCCAATTGTTTGGGCGGTGGTGAAAATTGAAAACAAAGAAAACTGGACGTGGTTTATTAACTTGTTGAAAGAAGACCTATCTTTGAATGATGGCGTTGGTACAACTTTGATTTCAGATCAACATCAGGTACATTTTGTTTTTGTCGTTTCTACGTCTTTGTAAGTGTGTGTTTTTTATGCCTCTTATAATTATTTTTAATAAAAAAATAATTTTTTGTTTCTTAAATAAGGGCTAATTGAGGCTGTCAAGGATGTGCTCCCGGTAGCTGAACACATATAATGTGCTAGACACCATTTATGCAAATTTTAGGAGGAAGTTTAGTGGTGTAAAATTCAGAAACCTTTTCTGGGCAGCCTCTAAAACGTCATATTAACAACAATTTGAAGAAGTGATGTCTGAAATCAAAGATATTTACACTTTCGAAACTGTTTTAAGTTGTTTTTTAAGCTATTATAAGCTGTTTGTTATTGTTTTAAGTTGTTAAAATGTGTTTAGGCTGTTACAATTGTCCTTTTATTCTTTTATTAACTGTTTTGATTTTTTTCCCATGTGAAATCAAAGCGGCCAACCTTGATGCATATTTGTACCTTATGGAGAAAGCACCTCATACTTGGTCTCGTGCATTTTTTGAGACACATAGAGCCTGTGATGCTGTCGAAAATGGAATTAGTGAGTGTTTTAACTCACTATTGGTAAATGCTAGAAGAAAGTCAATCCTTACACTGCTTGAAGCTATTAGAGTGATAATGATTGAAAGAATGGATAAAATGAGAGAGAGATTTGGGAAATGGATGGATGATATATGCCCTACTATTAGGAAAAAATTGAGCACTTAAAGGAACAACAAAGGTATTATTTTATCACTAATATGTTTAATACTCATTGTTCATAAATTCACTAGCTTCTCATTTCCATGTAGATTTTGGCATGTACTTCCATGTGGGGTGATCTTTTTGAGGTTAAAAGTGGGTTAGATGCTTTCATAGTTGATGTAGATGAAAGATCATGTACTTGTAGAATGTGGCAAATATTGGGTTTGCCTTGTGCCCATGCTATGGCTGCGATCTTGTACGTAAACAAGATTCTAGAAAGTTATGTTCCAGATTGTTTCAGAAAAAACATGTTTATTCAGTCATACAATCATTATTTAAGACCTTTAAACGGAATCAAAATGTGGCCGAAAACCAATCATATTAGCCCCTTGCTGTCGTTGCCAAGAAGATTGTGTGGAAGGCCAAAACTTAAAAGAAGAAGGGATGCAGTGGAAAGATTATTGACTTCAACGGGATAGATTGGAAGACAAGGAAGAAGAATGACATGTACAAAATGTAATGAAGCAGGTCACAACAGTAGATCATGCAAGAATGAGAAAAAAGATGCACCATTAAAAGATGTCAGACCACCAGGCAGGCCTAGGACTAATATTCATAGACAAAGCAGTAAAGGGGGTACACGAGGCGGAACGGGTTCACAAAGGGATGTTAAAAAGGTAATGTAAAATCTTCAAGTTTTATACTAATTTTATATGTCAATTGCATACTAATTTGTTCACTAATTTGAACAGGAACCATCTCAAGTGGAATCACGACCAAAGCTCATCCTGAAAAAAAAAAAGCCAAGTGAAAGGATAACTTTGAACAACCTACAAAAAAAAAATACCGTTAAGAAAGATGGAGAAGGTAGTAGTTGTGACAAGACGGTTCCACTTGATTAAATAACATTGTTAGATGAATGTGGATAGGATGGTTTTTTTTTTTTTGTTGAAAAGATGTCCACTTGTTTAGGTTTTGGTATGACAAAGTAAGCCATGAAATTTATGATGAACTCGATGAATGAATGGTTTTTTTGTGGATATTTTTATTCGTGAAATAGTGATCTTTTATAAACATGTTTAACTTATGATATTATATTTTTTGCGCATTTTGCCCTTGTAATAGAAATTGGTGATCTTATAATAAAGTTATTTTAAAAGTACAATGTTGTAATAAAAAAATGTCATGTCAACACTATCGTACATGTGGACAGCCTACATGGACGATGAGGTGGCAAAGAAACTTGGTATAATGGGTAAATTTAATTTAAAAGTTAACCAATGTTATAACAGGTAAATTTTTGAAAGTATAATGCCCTAATAAAAAAATATTTTGAAAGTACATTGTTGTAATAAGAAAAATTGAAAATAGAATGTTACAATAAGGACATTTGTAAAATTATGTTACTATTTTACGCATTTTGCCCCTAAAATATTATCACTTTTAATTCCAAAATTACCCTTTTGCCTCCCAAAACTTTTTGAATTGTTTTTAATATAATTTAAATTTAAAAAATCTCTTAATTTTGATTGTTATCATATTACTTGGTAGGTTGTTCTTGCATTCTCGTAAATCACATGGGTTCTCATTTGAACTATTCCATATATATATATATATATATATATATATATATTATAAAGCATTTGACAAAAACTCTTAAAGACCATTTTTTATGCACGAAGTACTGTTTATTGATGCATATTACTTAAAATTTAAGATTACAAGTAAATTGTGCATAAGTACAACTAATTAAAGCTCCATATTTGAATTCATGTAACTAACTGCAGATAAACATAATCAAATATTAGATAAACATCTCATTTTAAATATAAAAAATCTAAAATATAATTAGGATAATCATTGAGTTCTAACATAATACTTAGTTATTATCTTTATAAAAAATTATATTATTAAACCTAAATTAAATTTCGTTGTTGGTAAATCTAAATTAAATTATAATTAAAAAAAATTGAATTAAGAAAATTACACCAAAACACAAGAACTTTTAAAAAGATTAATTTGATACTGATATCGATATATATATATTTTTTCAAAATTTTATGATATTTTCAAATTTATATTTTATTCAAAAATAAAAACATTATCGCTTTTTCAAAACCACATAAAACCGTATTATATTGACATAAAAAAGAATAAAACAAAACACTTAAATCAAGATGTGTCTCGATGCATTGCACGAGTACCCTTCTAGTGTGTATATATATATATATATATATATATATATATATATATATATATCCGACCTTGTGACACATCGGGGATTTGAGGAAGGATTGACAAGCGTCTAAACCCTTTACGATAACAAGTATACCAGAGTAGTACTCAGAAACTAAGAGAAAGCTTTCCAGAACTCTCAAAGAGAAAAAAAAAACTATATTATATGTATTATATTATAGAGCATTTGACAAAAACTCTTAAAAACTATTTTTTATGCATAAAATACTGTTTATTGAAATATATTACTTAAAATTTAATATTACAAGTAAATTTTGCATAAATACAATTTATTAAAACTTCATGTTTGAATTTGTGCATCCAACTGTAGATAAACATAATTAAATGATAGACATCTCATCCTAAATACAAAAAATCTAAAATATAATTAGAATAAGCATAAAGTTCTAACAAAATACTTAATTATTCTTTTTATATAAAAAAATTTAGATTCTTAACCAAAAATAAAAAACTTCGTTATTAAACTTAAATTAAATTATAATAACAAATTTGAGTTAAAGAAATTATAGAAAAAATGATAACTTTTAAATAATTAATTTGATACTAATATCGATATATATTATTTAAAATCTTATGATATCTTTAAATTTTTATTTTTTTTTAAATAAAAACAATATTGTTTTCTTAAACCACATAACATTGTATTATAACAGAGATAGAGACAGAATAAAACAAAACATTATATTAAGATGTATCTCACAACATTGCACGAGTACCCTCCTAATTATCAATAATATGTTTAACAATGAAAAATTCAAACCCTATTTATAACCTAAACTAGGAAAAGATAACAATTAATAATCAAGAAATAAGGAATGAAGGTTGCATGATGAAGCATGGGTTGTCATGCATGGAAACGGGGGAAAAGGAGCAGGTGCTATGAAACAGTAGCTAATGCGAGCGCCATGCGGGTCTAGTTGCTTAATTATTGACAATTTGAGTCAGTTTAACCAACAAACCAGTACCCCAAACCATACCATCTGGTTTCGCTGTTTATCTGGACCAAGTTGGACCACCTAAACCATCACAAACAGTCCGGTTTGGTTTTCTTTGGTCGATTTTGACGATTTGGTTGGTTTCTTTGAACACTCCTACAGGAAAGGTCTACAAGGCTTCAATTCTACATAATACAATTACAATGACACCATGTCATAAACTCCAAGAAATTTAGTAACAAGCAACAACTACACAAGCCTTTTCAAATACAATTCTCTTTTCTTCTACTTTGAATGTTTCAAATACAAATAAATTTCTAAATCGTCGTTTGTCAAGAAACTCGCATAAGCTGACGGACCGTAATTGCATCATCTCATTTCTCACCACACAAGCTTCTAGCTGCTTGTAATGCAAAATAGGTGAGGATAATGTCAGCCCCAGCACGCCTCAGACACATGAGCGACTCCAGCATTACTTTTTCCTCATCGATCATTTTCAAGACACCCCCGGCTTTTATCATCGAGTATTCTCCAGAAACCTGCGACCCCGAAACATATCAACACAAACTTGTGACACAAGACATGTACAATAAATCTATCCAGTATATCCCATACAGACACTCCCAAGGGTTCGCGGTCACCTGACCCCCAAAAATTTTCAAAATTTAATTTTTATAATATTATAACTTAAATATTTATATATATATATATATATATACACACACACTTTTGACTCCCAAAAACTTATAACTTTGAATTCCGACCCCCGTTACCAAAATTCCAGGATTTGCTACTGATGTAGGGTCAGGACGTCAGATATACGCAGGTCTTACCTCTATCACAAAGAGTAGAGATGATGTTTCCTAAAAGACACGCACAATATAACCAAGAAAGGGTAGGAAAAATGTTTCATGACTTAAGTGCTTATACAGATTGCAATATTTTCATTTTCTGGCCTTCCTAAAGAGGGAAACTTACATCAAAATGGAACAAACTTTGCCTTGATTTCTATTTTGAGGAACCAACTTTTAAATTCATCATTTAAGGTCTGGAACAAAGTTGATGTTTATTCGCGGGACTCGTTGACCTGTTGAACAGGTTACCCAGTAATTTAATATGATGCGGCAAATCATAAAAAAATAAATATTACATGGACATTTATATTAATCTAATAAAAAGAATATTACGTGGATGTTTAGTTTAAACATGTTACTCAACTTTTTTCTTTAAAAAAAATATAAACCCCTTCTTCTCCCTCTTCCCTCACCATCATCGTGACCCTTTCTGGCGACCATCCTCCCTACCGCCACTAGCACAAGTGAGCAATAGATGAATCAAGCATAAACCTCTCTTCTCTAATTTGAGTTCCTTAAATCATGGGTATGGTTCAGATGAGATTGAAAAGAGAGACTACATTGTAAAAGAGACGGTGGTTCCGTAACGAAGATTATAAATCAAAATGGAAACCGAAATGGGTCTTATTTCCAATAAGCAAAAATCTTTTCCAACGTGCTCTTAAGGTTTTATATTATTGTTGTTGGATTACTTTTGTGTATGTTAAGTGGCATTGTAGACTGAAACCGAAATGGGTTTTTAGCAATTACATAAGATTTGAGACGGTGGAGAATGATTCCAATCACGAAGTTGAGGAAGACGAAGAGAACGATGGGCTGTTAACCGGCAAGGTCATATAGGAAGAAGACCAGCGATGAGTTGGTTCATCGAAGAGGATAAACGGCGTGGGGAAGGGTGGGAGATGGAGTTTTAGGTTTTCCTTTTGTTTTTGATTATTAAGTTAATCCTTTAATTTGTTTTCTTTTTAAATTAATAATGATATGGCAATATATAATCCACCTAATAAATTTTTATTTTATAATTTGCCACATCATATTAAATTATCGGTAACCTGAAGAACCAGTAAACGATTCCCCAAATAAACGCAAACTTTGGTCCAGACACTTAAATGAGGATTTTTACAGTTGTTCCCCAAAATAGGAATTAGCTCAAACTTGGTTCCATTTTAATGCAATTTTCCTTATGGCATCACCTACTCGGATGTGGTTTTTCAAGCTAAAGTTACCTATCTACTTAGTTTTCTTATTTTGACATTATTAAAGGGTATTTTAGACAATTGACACAAAATTATTTTCTTTCTTTTACTTTGTTCCTCTTTCCTTTCTTCAAACTTTTTTCAAGTCAGGGTCTTCAAGGAAACGGTCTATCTACTACAGATGGAGGTAAGGTCGGCATATCTAGGTCATTCCTCCCCAAACCCTGCTTGGTGTGGGATTTACTGTGGGTTTGGTTCAGATAATTGGCACATTTAACAATTTAAAAGACCATATCAGAGCTGTTCACACCGTATTTTGTATTTTAAATTGTAGTATATGGAAACTTTGATACAATTAGTTCACACGTCCATGCAAAGTGGGGGTTATTTAGAAGAATAACCTTTTGACAAATTTAATTTAAATGCATGAACTTCCAACAGATTTTGAGAACACCTCTATCTAACAGATGAATGTTGCTTCCTAACACAAAAATACCTCAAAATCTGGCAAAAAGTCATGCATGTATAAAAATATATATAAGAAGCCTATTCTCGTAAATAACCCTGCAAAGTGGGCCCTTCACATGGACTTGACAAAGTTTGGGCATTCTATCCGGCAAACATGGTTCCTAAGAAGTTGATAGCACCAATAAGGCCTATAACAAGTCCGTTCGAGTTGTATACATTTGTGATGCATTATCAGTTCATACTGGAGGCAGAATTAAGATTACCTGATATGCAGCAATCGGTAAGGGAGAGTTATCGCGAAGCAACCTTATGACATCTAAATAAGGCAAGCCTGGTTTTACCTGTGACCAAACAAAGGTGCTCGGTTAAATATTAAAATAGCAGTTCATATAAAAGTAAGATATAAACAAAATACCAACCAGAAGGATGTCGGCCCCTTCAGACTCATCCGCGCGCAATTCGATCAGGGCTTCTCTATAGTTTGCTGGGTTCATTTGGTAACTTTTGCACAAAAGCCACGAAAAATACACTTAATCCATCAAGTTGTCACATAAAAATAATAATAAACGAAAAAAATACAACATACAGAATGTCAACTTTTGAGCTACATACGTTTTCTTGTCTCCAAAACGTGGATTTGAGTCTAATGCTTCTCTAAATGGTCCGTAAAATGAACTTGCATACCTATAATACAACAAAAACAAACATGTTTTGAGGACATTAAATTCAGTGCAATTCACAATGTTTTGTCAAATCAAGATAAAGGAAACAGTAACCAAACCAAACTAAATGTCCCAATATATCCCACCCAAAGGTGGGGTTTGTGAGGGGGAAGATGGATGCAGACCTGACCTCTACTACAAAGAGTAGAGCGGTTGATTCCATGAAGACCCAAAGATGCATGGAACAATATTTAGTGGAAATCATACTGTACTTGTGAGGTAAATTAGAAAATTACTTTGCTGTATAGGACATGATAGACACGTGCTGAAAACCTTCAGCATCAAGAGCTGACCGAATTGCCCCTACACGACCATCCATCATGTCACTGGGGCTTACAACATCTGCCCCAGCTCGGGCCTACAGAAGAAATGCACATCATCAAAAGTAAATTTCGAGATGCTCAAGCACGGGACGACAAACGAAAAGATGCATATACCAGACTACTACTTGTCTGCTGGATATGCTAAAGGAAGTTACCACCACAACACAATTCTGACCATCAAGAATGAATATCCACTAATACTGGCTTTATTGTTTAATCAAGTATTGATAACTTTCTTATGAATAATAGAAGTACTTTTCCTGTTTCTTAACATGCTAAAAGTAGCTAACGAGGAGTGGGACCACATTTTCGTGGAAAAAAGTTTTACAATCATGAAGTTCTTGAATTTATGCAAAGAGAGAGCCATTTCTCTTCTGTCAACAAAAGACTGAACCAACTGAAATCGTGAATCCCACATGGAGTATAGTCCAGGAAGGTAGGATGTATGCAGATTTTACCAATACCCCTAGGGGGTAGAGAGGCTGTTTCCATGAAGACCCCCAGCTTCTAAAATGTCCACAATGACAAATGCTTCTCGACATATAAAGACACTGATAGATTCAAATGGCTGGGTGTTGGATTTATTCAATATACATGTGCAACTGGTAGAATACCACCATAACTGATCCCATAAAATTTATTGATCATCAGAATCTCATTTTACATAATTAGACTGGAAAAATTGCATAGCATAGAATTTATAGAGATGAAATGTTAAATATCATTAATAAAGAGATATACCTGTGAAACAGCCTGTTTACATAACTGATGCACAGTCTCATCGTTCATTATAACTCCTGTAAAATGCAACACACATGATATGCAGCTGGTAAGACAAGAAGAACAGGTTCACAGATACCAGGATAGGATAAGAATTACACTTACATGAAAGAAAAACAGAAAGAACAGCAACAAAATAATATTTAAACAATGAAAAACCATGCTGTGGGAACGGCCCACGTACCCTAACATCAAGACTTCATCTTTTGACTGCAAACTTATTATGAGATCCACTGGTTATAACTACAGATATGGCGCTGATTGCAAAGTCTTTGACAGCATATATATTCCTATTCCATGGGAATTTGCTCCATTATCCAGTTAATAATTCCATTCCATGCAGAGTGTTTTTGTACTTTTTCACAGACACTAATAAGCCGGCGGATAACGATCTCAATGTGATTCAGTTTTTTTCTGTAGGTGAAAAATATCTTCATTAATATGTACAGTTTACCTTTTCAAAGAGATCCTAGGTAAAGGATTTAGTCCATATGCTGCTGTTTGTATTTAGGTTTGCTTTTTCCTTTTGAACTGGTTAAGCCTATATGCGGCTAGAATGGAGTTAAGCCATAAGATATCCTCCGAGTTATCTCTACCTTTTTATCTTCGTAACAACACCTCTCATGGTCAAGATAGTCCATATTAAGCTATGGAATAGTTTCTAATGTGTTGATATAAGGCTAACATCTAATATCCATGTCATCTTAGTGTTCAACATTGACATTAGGAGGTTAAATCTTGCAATAAATCACTCCCTAACTCCTTTTCAAAATTGCTTCGAAAGCCCAGAGGAAAAGCACTTTGTACCCTTGCCAACTCTAATAACTAAGCATAATAAAATCATAAGAGAGCACACTCACCACTTTGGTCCATACATGTTTTGAACTTTCAGTTCGTTCTGTTTAGCTTTATCGGCTATTACTTGACAAAAGTCATTGCATTAGTTAAGTAATTACCGTAAGTGGCTACTGCTGTTACGATCTTGAAACTTAAACATGAAAGGGTAATGGGTTGATGTAAACATATTGTGGCTCTAACTAATTTTCACAGCATGGTTCATGTGCTTAAAACACCAAAAGTAATAATGCATGAAACAACTGATCGCCACACCACCTCTTGGGAATCAAACCTTTCAAAACAATATTGCAAATTGCGATGGAGGAGAATTTTTCCTCCTTTCTTCCAATGTTAACCTTTTTCCTTTTTACTTTGAAACACATGCATGACACATGAAAATGCAAAATAGAAAATTATTGAAACATGAGTTTCAGAAGACAAAAAAGCAAGGGCATGCTAATTTTTCCCCAACACATAACGTAAGAACTTGAAACTGGTTCATAGATTGTGTAGCTAGTAGTAATTACCATCTTCTCTAACAATACCATCATGCCCATCTGAAGAATATGGATCTAGAGCGACATCAGTGTAGATGATCTGTCCACATATACATTAAACTATTAACATTTCATCAAGCATACTTGGCAAAAAGCACAAGCACCTCAACAAGGTAAATGTTGTCCCCTTTCTATTGAAAAAAGAGTATATGTAAGTTCTTACAAGATCAGGGTACTTGTCTTTAAGCAACCGAATTGTTCGAGGTACGAGTCCAGAATCATTATATGCTTCATCTCCTGTGGGAGTCTAAAAAGGGAAAGTCCAATTGTGTAACGTTTTCATGAGAGCTACATTGAATAAAATGTATAAACAGCAACCTTTAATGCATCCGGAACTTTTGGGAAGAGCACAATACTATTGACCCCAACATCACGAGCCTTTGAGACCTGCACCACATGTACAACACATCTTTCATTCCGTTCATATCCTTTTTTTGGATAAAACATTCCGTTCATATCAATTTGCATATAATAAATACTTTCTGTTTAGATTGGTAACAATGTAAATAATTATAATTATCTAAAAACTATAATTAACAATGAATTTTTTTAATATTAGTTGCAAACTTTCAATCAACTGTTTCGAAATTAACATGAAAGAACGAAAACAAGGGTAGAACTGCAAAAAATAAACAATATATGTGTTGTTGTCTGGTAGCTGAATGCATGTAAGCATGTTGATATGTCAGTCCAAGTGATGTCTTGTAATTGTTTACTAATTTTGGAAGAACTGAAACTCTCATCTGGTTTACCAGGGCTTCATTTGAGTTGTCTCTACTATCGTTCAAGGATACTCCTTGCACAAGAAAACATATTTCACATCATGTTTCAACTTTTGATATCAAAGGATTTAGCTTTTTTACAAAACTAATGTGATTTATATCTCATTAAGAAAAAAATATTAACAAAGACTTCAATACATACACTACAATAGAAATAATGTTGACGTTAAAATACTATCGACAGCAAGACAATAATAGAAGATATGACCTAATCAAACTATAAATGACAGCAAAAAGATAAAAGATGAAACAGAGTCCCAGAAAACAGGCTTTCCATTGATCATTTAACTAGTTTGCCTTCAAATGGAGAAGAAGGCAGATGGAAGTAGAAAAATTAATAAGCTGAAATCTTAGCTGAATCCTAGTCTACAGGCACAAAAAAGATGTGTTGCTACTTGCTAGCCATGATATCCAAAGGCGCCATCATTCATGATACGCCAATCTGATAATATCTTAAAAACATTCATTATATTAGATCCTGCTTCTAGATATTCCATGCAACTAATTCTCAATGAAATTTTTAGTTTCAGAAAATGATTTACAAAACAGAGTCAATATGACAATATGGCAAACTAGCACCATACAAGATTTTTCCAACAATGGCAACTTTGTGCTGATATATGCCTCTATTTTCGTAATATATTTAACTGTTACATTGGTGACCTTTCCAATATGTATTCACTCCTTTATCGTCATCACGTCATGCATAGCTAGAGCCTAGAATGACTAAAAAGGTTGAAAGACAGTACTGTGGCAGTCAAGGATATTACATATATGTAAGGAGTCCCTCCATAGCTAGGATAGAACAGTACATCCAACATGTAGTACTTTTAAAGCCATAAGGTGTGTCAATGAAAATCATGTTCGATTGTCAAGCCCACATATGATTTTAGTTCCTATGTTGTATGTTAATCTCGTATTAATGTATAATGACACTAGCCTACTGTGTTGGATGAATTAGCCCCTATATATGTGCTATACACAACACACATATATTGAACCTCCTTGACAAAGGACACTTTTAATTTACAACAAGAGAGCATAAAGGTAAAGATGAAAATAGCTAACAAACCTCTTCAAGAAGCCCATGTCTCCACCCAAGCCTATAGCAACCAGGCATGGCACCAATAGGTGTGTCCTCTTCACCTGCAAATCCAAAGGAGACTGAGAAATGCATGTAATACAAAATTTAAAATGAAGAACATAAGATACATTAGCGTAGACTTTGACCTTCATGGATAAAAAGAGGGTATACAAAATTTGCAGGGGACAAGCTTGTTTCCTGGAATGCAGATCTCAAGACTGGTGATCTGCGATTACGACGCGGTCGTCGACTAATCTCCTTCATAAATGGAACAAGCATAACATGTAAAGATAAGGAAGAGCAACCCATAGCACACTTTTTAAGAATGAAAGTAAATGGAGACCTTATATAAACCCTTTAAAATAGGAGGTGAAGCAGTGCCATAGCAAAAAATTCAGAAATGCAAAGTTGACCAAGAAAGGTGCAAACAAATTGCAAGAAAATAAGCCTTAAGAAGCTCAATTTCCATCAAAGTACATTATCAAGATGAGTTATCTAGAAATATATTTCAGAAAACAATAAGAAAAGCAACCATTATGCACACAATTTACGACAGCGCCCTCAAACATGTAGAAAGATGATAATAATAGTGGTAAGCAAATTCAATTTATACATTTATGAAAACAGTTTTCTTTATCACTATTTACTTTATATGAACTGCATAAATTAAATAATTAGATAGCTGGCAACAAAATATAGTTTCTGCAACATAACGCAGTAAGTAGCAAGCTATTTAGTTCATTGTAACAGAGGAAAGGCGCCAAAAATGATAAACAAAATTTGGTAGATATATTGCACTCTGTAACAAATTTAAAGCCATATGTCTGGCGATTAGTATAATTCAAGTTTATGTAGGTCAGTTGCAGCCAACAATCTGAGTGCGGGTTTTTGGCAATGATAAGCTGAGTTCAATAAATCAAAACAATAGAGAAACTTGATGCAAAGGGAATACGGCCTAAACATTTTTCGGGCAATAAAAGCTAACGCATCTGATAAACTACATTTCCCCATGCCAGCAAGACCTTATCTTATCTCCTATCAAGGTATATATATTGTACTATACAAGAGTTCAAAGAAGAAGCAAAATGTTCTTGGAGAAAAGACTTAGGCATAACAGCATTGTTCTAGTAAGGTTTGGTAAAATTTGTTAAAAGAAAACTTACCAATTGGCCATGTAGTGAGAAGAATTTCAGAAGTCATAGATAATAAAATTGAGGTGAGAACGCTTACAAATGAGGGAACCACTGGAGTTCCAGCAGGTGATGAAGGAATGGGGGGAACCGGAGGCGCTTCAGGGATGTTTCCAGCAACAACAGCAGCTTCGCATTCCGCATCACTCCTACCCAATTTTTTCATGGGTCCATCACTGGTTGAAGCCTTGACTACAAACATACACCTATAAGGCAAAGTAGAGACTGACGGGCGAATTGGTAGGGCATTCGGTTTAAAATTTCCATAGCTCCGGCAATCTAAACCCTTAATTGTTCCAACATTCAACGGCATATTCGCAATAGTGGACGCCATAACTATGAATTCTGCACAACACAAAATTATTAGACAAATTAGCAGACAAATTTTGCAAGAAAAGCTTAGTACCTAACTGCAGTTCACACACTCAACTCCAACCTCTGTTTCCTCAAAAAAGAATGAAAATGTGTCATAAACCTTTATAACAAAGCTACCTCTGCTGCACACACAACCATTTGATAACTTGAAGGGATAGCATATACGCAGGATGTTGAGAGGGGTGGATTTGTGAACACAAGATTAAAGAGTAAAATAAATGTGGTGGCTTGGGCATGTTCGAAGGAGACTACAAAAGGCACTTCTAAGGAGGGTGGAGAGTGTCATGGTCGAGGGAGAGAGGAGTGTCGAGGCGGTGCAGACCAAGGAGGATGTCGAATGAGCAACTGAGGCTGGACATGGAAAAGTACGTAGTTTTTTAGGGCATGACCTCAGATAGGAATTGCTCAAGGCGGCGGATTGGAGTAGTTGATTGCTTGAAGACTGTTGTTGGGGGAGGGGGGTTTGGGGAGGGTTGAAAGTAATCAGGTAGGTTTGCAATGCCGCAAGCAAGATATATATAGAAAGTTCTTTGGAGTGTTCTATGTGTTTTTATCTAGGTAGGCTCTTTGCAATTTTTGCTATTTCTGTCTTTAAAAAAAATTTTTTTTTTTTTGTGTAGATCTTACCCCAGACCCTATTTCCAGGTGGGACTTAAGTGGATTTTTTGGTTTGGTTTTGGTTTTGGTTTGGTTTGGTTTTACTAAAATAACTAAAAATCTTGTTATTCAATTATTTAATCTTCTTTTTAGGTTAAATTCCATTTAAGGTCCAGGATTTAGAAGCCAATTCTTTGGCAAGTATTCAGTCATAGCTAATGTTGCTCTTTGTTAACATGCAAAGCATTCTGTCAACGTATGTAAACAAAATAGTCATCATGGTTGATAAGGTATGCATATTGTTGTTTGTCTTTTTCTTGGTTAGCTCTCAATTGAGATTAGATCATCCCAAGACCTAGACAAACTCAACTATTCTGAATCTGTAATTAAAAGTTAACCATTTCTGCAATGAGAAGCAAGAGCCAATTTAATCTACAGAGTAAGGTTCTATTTAGTGTAACGATAACAAACGTTCAATTATTCCTATTACGTACCCATTTTGACTGGTAACAAGTAGATCTTGTAACTACTGATGACATGGATGTCAACTTGTCAATTTATATTGTAATTCTTGATTACGTACAATAATTGTCACACCAAAATCAACTGATGCCACGTAGACTGAAGGTTTGTTACACTATTGAGAAAAAAATTCATTGTTGCACTAAATAGGAATTACGGTGAACTTCATTACATTTTGATGCATTTTTCCCTGTGATAAAATCAAAAGGGGAAGAAAATAAAGAGGACATGAATTATTACATGGTTGCAATTTGGTAATATACCAAAACTGAGTCCTACCAATTGAATGAAAATATCTAGTTTTGTTTTGCATTCAGGCCTCTTCACTTGTTTCAACTTGTTCAATTCCTGTGATGTACTGCTACAGCTAACGCTATTAGTGTCACATATCATATTGGTTGAGATTGTTACTTTTGAGCTACTGAACGCTTTTTCATCTCCGTGTACCATGACTACAGAACTAGTGATTGTTTGCACATTGGTGGTCATTTTCTGCAGAGAAAAATGCATCAAATGCAACAAAGTTTGTTTTAGTTCCTGTTTAGTGTAATGAAGATTTTTTTTCTCATGTAACAGTTTTCAAAAACTCCTATTCTGTAACAATTTTTGGGCGGTAACATGCTGATCTTGTAACATATGACAATGTGGATACAGAATAACGAAAGGGTTAGAGAAGTGCACAATAAACTTGGCATCCCTTTAATCAAATGTTAGAGGTTCTACAGGTTACCGGTCAAAATAGGAACAACATAAAAAATTGAATTTTGTTACATTGAATAGAAAATTGTGAAACTTTGTTACATTTTATAGAAATTATGATACTTCGTGACAAAAAAAATTCATTGTTACGCTAAATGAGAACTGGGGCAAACTTCTTTGCATTTTGATTGATTTTACCCTTCTCTACAGCGGTACCCAATTTTTTCAATTCTCCTCGTTTGACGTTGTGTCAAACACTGATTGTTTAGGGTTTGAGGTCAATTGGATCATTTAACAGAAACACACAATTTATTTATATTTTCAATAACAGGACACAAGAACACACAAAAGGTTAGTACATAAACGTTAGTTTCAAACTGCAAGATGTCATCCCTCTGTCGAATGCATATTAGCAAATAAATCAAATGCAATTGTAGACCCAGCAATACGTCAAGTCCCTTGCACAATTTCAGCAAACGATCGCATTAACTCTACGAGTACGAGAATAATAGAGTTGAACAAATACCTAAATTTCCGATGGAGAGGAGGAATACAAGATCAGAGAAGCAACAGCTCAGGTGGAGACCTTCGTCGTCGACACGACTGTGAGACAATGGATGGTAGAATGGAGCGAGCTTATGTTTGGTGAGGGTGGAAATGAAACGGACAAAGATGGCGTGATTGCTTTAGATCAGATTTTGTTTGTATGTTGTTATTTACCACCAACTCTTTAAAATTTACAAACTGGCCACTAAACTTTGATGTTTTGGCAGATTGACACTAAACTTAGGTTTTTTTCTATTTCAAGTGCTTTTATCTTACCGGGTGAATATGAAAAGGTTTGAGAATCTTACCCGGTAAAAGACATAGCAAAGATCGAGAACATTACTCGGTAAAAGGCATAGCAAAGAATATTACACGACGCTTTCCACGTAATAGATACTTACCAATAATCTATTTTTATAGTTGAAAATGTTAACCAATAAAGTAAATAAGGGTGTTGACTCTTACATGTAAGCGTTTACTCGGTAAGCAGTTGGTAAATGTAAGTCGACATGTCCCAATTTATCGTCATACAATCTTGAAACTAAAGCTGGATCAATGTTACCCTTAGTGGGTTCTCGTGCCACCACAAAATTTGTGAGTCCACGAAATGATCAATCTTCATAAAACTCTATGAATCCATGACAATCTAAGATAAACTTGTAAGAACACTTGAGAGGAGATGAAAGGAAAAATCAACAAGTCAAACTTCTATTCTTTATGTAAGTTTTACAATTGAGCTCATTTACAAATTACACTAAAGACAAATGCTTTATATATGGTCAAACTAAAACCCTTCTAGTCAAAGTCAAACTCACTTACAAAGTCAAACACGATGTCGTTACAATTATAGACAAAAATAACTTTCAAGACGAATACAATTTAACACTAAAATTCAGACCCAACATTTCCCTCCTTTGTATTCAGGCTTGAAAGAATTTGTGCACTTTGAATCTCGTTTGAACTTTGTCGTTTTAAGCACTTCATGACTTCTTCAAAAAAAACTTCAAAACAATCTTCACTAAGATCTTTTGTTGAGAAAATATTATAACATTCTCCCTCTCGAATGTAGAACATAAACGATCTTCTCTTTTGACAATGTAGAACAAAATCAGCAACGATCTTCAGAAATGATCTTCAAGATATGATCTTCAAAGAATTTCTTCAGATAACAGAATCTAACATTCTCCCCAAAAATGAATTTCTTCAGATAAAAGTTCACAAACATTCTTCTTCAAAATTAAACATTCTCTTCGTTGAGAAATCTCTATCAGTAAACTTTTGTAAAGATGATAATCACATTCAAAAACTCTCAGACAATGTAGCACAAGAATAGTTTCCAGTTATAATCTTCAGTCACACTCCTTTGAGTCTTTTGCCGACCTTTGATGTTACTTCTCCTTGATTTTTATATCATACTCCCCTTATATCATCTAAAATTGAACATTTCATTCATTATTTCATACTCCCCCTTATGATGAAATGAGAATCATTAGCATCATTTACCAGAATTTGAATAAAATTTTAAGCGAGAGCCGTCAATTCATAAAATTGTAAGTAGATCTTTTCAAATCCGCTTGTATAATCTTTTCAGATTAAGAAAATGGGAAATTAACAACCAATTTCAACTTATGAAATTGTTTTCAATCTTATAAAAAAATTGGCCCGTGAATATAACAGATATATTCAGTACAACGGATATACTTCATGTATGAGACTTTTAGATGTTCATCTCACCAGGTCTTCCATTCAATCATTGATATCTTATAAAAGTATATCTATGAATGTTTCAGCAAAATAACATATAATTTGCAAAAATTGTGTAGTGTAGAAAAATAAAGCAACATATGCTTTTGTTTAGGCTCAAAAAGATAAACCGTGTGGACTACACAAATTTATCAGACTCAATATGTGGTCAAAAAGACTTGAAGGGGGGACATATATCTTTTTGTTTCAATATCAACTTTCTCTTAATGATAAACTGATAGAATGTGAGTTGTGTGCCCCGAGTGTTATTGAAACACTTATCTGCTAAGAGATAAATGAGTAGCTGGTGGGGTTGTGACAAGAATTGGCTTGGGCTTTGCCTTTTTCAATATTAGTCTCCAAATAATCGAGAACTAATAGATTACGTGGTATGCCCGGAATTTAGAGGTTCAGAACAGGATTCTTGTAATCTTTTAATCTTGACACAACTCTCGTCAATTCTTTTGGCTTACTACATTTACCCCTCTCTTTTTCATTTTATGCTATGCACATAAACCCATTTTGAGTTTAAGCTCACTCATATATGATTGTCCTCTTGGGTAGGTTTGTCGGTTCTGACATTCCATAGAGGTATATCTGTAAAGCACTCAATCCCTCCTAAAATTTAGCAATGTATGCTAAGTTGATCACAAATATTTGATCAAAAATATTATTGCTATAAAGCACAATGATCAGATAAAATTGATTAAAATATATAACTTTTAAGCACAATCAAGGAGTGATACGCAAAATCAGATTATTCAGAACATAAGAGAAATGAATGAAGATCTGTAAGTACGAGTTTACATATTCTGATATTCAAAGAATTAACGAATGTATATCAATCAAGATAAAAAAAATATCAGAAAAACAACCTTTGATTACAAACGAGTGTATTATCACCGAAAATGATTATTATTTAAGAGACATAATAATAACAGTTTCAAAAATAGCTGAAACAGGTATTTGAGTTATGTACGATGAGAAATTATACAAGTAAAATCTCAGGAAATACCTGCTTAAAAAATGCACTTGTTTCAGAAAACAATTCCAATGTCCAAAAACATTTATTAAACATTTCCAGAGACTCCTCCTAGAAAATAGATTTCAGTAGTATTTCATTTCAGCTCAAAATAATAAAATTTAGAAACAATTTTAGCACGGGTCCTGAACTGTTGTGTTCAGAAGCCAATATCATTAAAACATGAATCCTAAACTGTGTGTTTAAAAGCCTCAATTTGACAATATACAACTCGCCTTAAATTAGTGCATCATAAGTATGATTCTCTGATCAACGCATTAATGACGCACATGCAAAATCAGATCAAACAGATTTTGGTACCCAAATGAACTTGGGTCATTCTTTGTTAGTATCAGGTTGTAGGATGTTGTAATTGCCAAACCATCTATTCTTGTTAGATATTTTCTTTTTCACACTTTTAACAGTATGATCATATATGCAATAGGATCCATACCATTTATTATTATCATACCTGTTGTTACTTTTCCAGTTCTTCTAATACTTGTTGTCTTGAGTCCACCTGTTGTACCGTTTCCTGTTCACAAAATCAATTGTCTTGCATGTGGAGCACATGATTCTTCTCTTGCTAAGATTTATCAAATCATTAGTAGATCTCACAAAACAAGGAAAAATATTGTTAGTAACAACAGAGTTACGAGACGAAACAGATTCAGTTTTATTTACCCAAACACTTTTAACTTTTGAAGAATGAGAATTGGGTGATCCAATGACGTACCCTTGATAGTACTGACTTGAAGAACAAGAATAGTTCTTAGAAACAGTTGATTTAGGACTGCTTGAATAAGTGTTAGATTTAGAACAGTCATAGAAGCTTGTTTTACACTGTGAAGGAGAAACAGTTGAGCTTTGAGCACAAGAAAAGTCTTTAACTTTCTTTAAAAGTTGGTCTCGTTTATCAACAACTAAATCATACCTCTCTTTAAGTTCAGTTCAGTTTCAAGTTCTGTCTTCAGATCAGACAATTTCTTAGAAGTATCCAGGAGTTTACCTTTTAACTTCTTCTTCAACTTCTCAAACATTTTCTTCTCTTTATCAAACTCTCTTCATCTGAGCTGCTTTTTTTATTCTCAGAAGCAATGTCGAGCCATTTTTTCTTTTCTGCAAGCTCTTTGGCCATACCTGCATATTTCTTTGCAGTATTTATCTTTTCAAGAACAAACAACTTTTTCTCTTCGTCCAAAGCTTTTTGCTTTTGATCAATACAGTTAGATAATTCTAGATTTTTACTCAGACATTCTTCTGTAATCTCTTTCTTCTCTTTATCTATCTTGGCTCGTTCCAAGATGATTAGCTGCTCAAAATCAGAGATCTGATTCAGTAGCATTTTAGCATTCAACTCTAGAGAGTTGATCTTATTCTTATAAGAAATGTGTTTAGTACCAAATCTTTTCTCTACTTCAATTATTCTCTTCTTCTCTTTCTCAAATTCTTTCCTTTCAGTATTCAAACTCTGTTCAATTTCCAAAACCTTTCTCTGTTCTAATTCCAGTAACTTTCTTAACTCAACCAAATCACTCTCAGACTTATGAAATTTTTCCAGTGAAGTCCTCAGTCTCTTTATGTTTTCTTGGAGAGTTTCTCTCAGTCTGCAATGCATTTTGAACTTCTTGGAGTTTATTAAACAGATCTTTATTTGATTTACTCCAAGTTTTCAATTCATCATCACACTCTTTTCTCACATTATCTAAAGATTTCTCAAGTTTGCTAATCCAAAACTTGGAATCATTCTCAACTCGTTCTAATGCTTCTTTATTCTCCTTTTGTAAATTGACAATAAATTCCTTATTAGCATGATTTTCAGAGAACATATGTATATATTTATCTTTAAAATCTTTTGCACTCTTTTCCAACTCAAAAACTTTAACTCTCAACTCTCTATTCTCCTTCTCAAGATAAGCTGCCATTTTAGACTGATCAAAGAATCTAATACAATGTAGAAATCAATCAAAGAAACAAAAAATAACAAAATCTTTCATATTAAAGTCAATAAGCTCAAAAATATCAGAAACGCTCAAAAACTGTTCAGAAAACAGAAAATCAGCAAAAAGAGTCAAAAACTGTTGAAAACAGTCAGAAACGGTTAAAACTGATCAAAAACAGTTTACGCGACACAAATTGGTTCAAAAATCTCAAAACAGTTCAAATCAGATAAAATCAGAAGTTTGGTGAAAAACAGTTAAGAAAAAAATCCAGATAAAATGAAATGAAATCTGGAAAAATAGTGTTGGAAAAAAAGATTTAGACTTTATAAAAAAATGGGCTAAGAGAAAGGATGGGCTAAGAAAATAGACAAAAACAGATGG